AAGCAAGTGCTGATGAATCTCTTCATGACCGTGGTGCTGGATATGGAATCTTTCCTTGTTTGCATATTCCTTTACAAGTGCTGAGGAATTTCTCCGTGTTGATGCTGATTATTGTAAAATGCTTCCTTGGCTGTGTTGGTGAACTAGAGTCAGTGGTACAATTGCCAAAACAGTTGTGCGGCTCCTGGTCTACTTCCATTACGCAGCAAGGGCGTATTCGTTACAAATATAATTAACACAACACATAATGAGTTGAACGTCGGTTTATTGGACTTGTGTACACATACATTGAATGTGAAAAGTCTTCCCATATGACTTCAGTAGATCATATGAACATGCATCGAGAACAGGGAAGTAGAGGTAGCGAAGTACCATTATGCATGCATCTGCATAGGAGAGTCTGGGTTCGAACCCCGGACAATCTGCCGGACAATACATGTATACATGTACAGAACCATTCGTAGAGGAGAATAAAAATACGAAATATATAACCTAGTTGTGACGTCAATAGCCGACGTCAGCATACAAGCATCAGTACAACTTAGATACAACAATTAACATAGGCATAACAAATTGGGTTGTATCACATTAATGTGGAATTGTATATCAAGCATATGATAAGTCGAACTTTGTCATCAGCTACACATCACTACATACTACAGTGTAAAATTGACAGTCTTGAAGTACATAGCACTAGATTTAAGGTACTTCAGTTTAACAGACCTAAGCTTAAACAACCGCATTTGTTTCTCAATTAGTAAACACGAGCAGGATTTCATGCTTATATGTTAAATTAATACGAATTGTTGACATTTAATGTCAATGTACCATGCAATAATACTACATACTTAATGTTCAGTACATAAAGTAAAGGTTTATATAGTAGACTGATAATAACTATATTGACAACTACAGAATGTCTGAGGGTTCAGTACCTGGTAAAGTAAACAGCAACGATGCCAAGGGTCCGACCATTTTATAATGGTTTGAGCCATATTTTTCAACACATTCCTCATGACATATAACTCAGGGTTGGGGTCCTTATTTATGTTGGAATAATCACATGTTCTGGAGAACACATTTAAGTATCAAATACTGGAAAATAGTCTTGAACAGTTTTCACCCACTATGAATTTTTCAGTATTTTCTGCAAGGACCCAACCAAGAGTGCAGTGGTTGGTCCCTAATACTGTTCTGTAACCAGCAAGTACTATGATTGTTCACTGAAAAATCTGACTAGAAATGACGTAAGCAAGTCGAACTGGGTAAGGGTATGGGATCCTGGGTTTAACAGGCAGCTTTGGTTACCGTACAGGTTGCTACACTACACTTGATATAACACGAGTAACTCTATGTCTCTTTCAGTCTGTGTTCTTGATGTAGCACACTTTGTACATAGCTCAACATTGCGAGGGATACTTATACATTGCTACAAAACAGGAGGACAATGAATATGTGAGTTTAGTTTTACGCCGCTTTTAACAATATTCCAGAAATATCACGACGGGGGGACACTACGACCGAGCTTCACACATTGTACCGATGTGGAGAATTGAACCCGGGTCTGCAGCGTGACGAGCTGACGCTTTAACCACTAGGCTACCCCATCGCCCCACAAAACAAGAGGGAAAGGGGAATGTGTGCTTGTAGCTATTTCTTTTATTTGTCTGGTCAGGTTTAAACCGTTATTACAATAGTCTAATTGTGTCATGGCATGCCAAGCGCGAGGCAATGAAAGTCTCACACGTTTACCAAGTTCGTGAAACCAACGAGTACACGTATGGGGGATGACAAACCTAGATTCGAAACACGATCATAGCTTCCTGGCGCGTCGAAGGGAAGCAACTCTTCACAACGAAGTGCGACGATTTAGACTAATAGGCTACTTTGTCTTCAAGTATTGTAATTTAGAAATGTAATGATGCTGAAAATGGGTAATTTCCATATAACTTTTGAGTCGTGTTCGAATGACAATTTCCAGGACCAACATATCCTTATCGATGTTGAATAGTATGTAACAAAGAGGCAGATCATAGGGCTTTCAAACAAGTTGACACAAGCTAGCATGAAACACAGGCATGTACATCTATTCGGGTCAACTATAGCGAAATGTCAACCTCCGTTATATCGAGATATCGTTTAAACCGAAGCTGCAGAATACATACATGTATCACTCTATTTAAATAATCGTTCTCCGCTCGAAGTGAGACAACTCAATATATAGAGACTTCGGGTTACCAAGGCTTCAATGGAACTAAAATTAATTCATTTACCAAAGCAGATCGATGTTGAGACAAACACCATAATTGCGATTTTATCAAAAACCAAATATCGTTCTCATGAGAAGGCCAGAGTCATTTATGTCTTGGAGGTGCATGGTTTGGACATGTGCAAGACGACGGCATGTGTGACGTGAAGGAACGTCATCTTTCTTGACATCCATATTTGTGATAGTCATGTACGATTGTATATCAAGTATTGATTGTCGTATCCCGAGTGTCTGTTTCTGGGGCACTTCAGAGTCTGACTAGGCAAGACGGAATGCACCTCGCACGGACTGAAGCAGTAACATTTACCGGGGGCTTGGTTACATGTCATTCAACCAGTAATTTCCTGAATCAGAGTCTGCAAGAGGACAATATCGTTCAAGGCGTGCATAAACACTACGAGTAGGATATGGGGAAGGTTCGTAAATAGGTCATTGCGTCTTCGTGCAACGATAGCTAATCAATTCATGACATCATATCAAATATCAAAGATTTTCAGAGCGTGGATGACATCAAAACAGTTAGAGATGACACTACCAAAATCTCTTGAACATTAAATAAAATTCATTTTACGTTACAGATTTATGTTTCCTCGCAGATTGTGTCTGTTTATGTCACTAGTGTTATGTAGCATCTCTGAGTATGTAGGTTTCGTTAAGTTCCGAGTTGATGCAATTCAGGTGTGGGGACATGGTTATTCCGCTTAGGTGTTACTCTTGACGTTTGGCGATTTAATTAACATCTTGTTAGTACAGTATTTGCACAGGAAGCCATTTCGATTGGAAATGTCACGATCGCCATGGAAACGCCTGTCAAAAGAGCGTAAACAGACTCTCTATGTAGGCCGAGTTAGCTGACAGAGTACAATGCAAGAAAAATGAAAGACAGATTCCGGTGAATCTCCGATCAACGACGAAGGAAAATTGGAATATTCCGTCAATTAATATTTTCTCTGTTATATTAAGACATCGTAGCTTAAAGTCCAATTTCTAAAAACTAGTTATTGGTTACGACAAGGTATGGTAGTTGTACCACCAATAAAAAACAACAACTTTAGTTCTGATATCGTAAATGAATCAATAATTTAGTCTATGGTTTTTTTCAGGTAAATCAATTTCATTACAAGAACAGGCAAACATAACACAACATATTAACGGAATGTATAAAAATTTGATTGAACTTAATGTATATGTAAGCTTAAGGCCTGTACACATTGCCTGGGTGTGACGAGATCACTTTTCACTTATTTGCACGAAATACTGTATTTCCCCTATTAAACCCAGTGGCATATAATTCTTTCAGGCACTCCTTAATGCTTGAGTTTAATCGCAATGACAATTGAAGATGTTCGATGTTCACACGAGCTTCGGCTTTTTATAACAATCGAGGCGTTTAATTGAGGGAATACGGTAGTGAGCAAAATCATGCTTGGTCTCAGGCTCTATTCAAGATTGTCATCAAATCACATCAAATCTAATGATAAATGCATTGAACTTATATTGAGAATACAATTACAAATCAAATGTAATGTGGAAAATAGTCTGAAATATAATTACTTACGTCTGATAAAATATGAAGTTGTAGTCAGAATGAATTTGAAGTTGGAATCTTTATTTCTGTCCATTCTTGATAACAAACAAAATAAGTGGCGTGGTCCCATTTGAACCATAATTGGGTTCGCGGCATTGGATTATTGACAAGACATCGATATATCCGTAGACAAATGAAACTCGACGGCCACACACTCACATACACTGGGAATGCCAAATGATGTTATATCGAGGTGAATAGAATTGCATGCTTAATGAAGGAATGTTTTCCCTAGAAATACGTGATTGAGTGAATGAGTGAGTGAGTGAGTTTGCTATAACGCCTCTTTGGACAGTATTTCAATCATATCATTACGTTTAAGCTTCATGTCTAAACTCAAAGCAGTGGAGGTCCTAGAGCAGACTATCTGAATATATTATAATTTTATAGTAACAATTAATCCCATTTAAATTCAAAAGGAGCCCCACTGAGATGGGAGATTCAGAACCTGAACCTGAGGAAATCTAGACTTGCTCCATTTGGAGCTTTAGCATTGCAGGGAGGGTAAGGCAGTGGGGAAAATCATGCGGTTCAGGGACTGTGAGACAGACTAGTCTCAGACGCTTAGCACTTCTGCAGACAAACGGTGAATTATGATGTAAGCGAATACGGGACAGTGGGCACAGCGATTTCCGTCGCCACCCTGACCTACATACCTACGTTACAACACTACAACTCGTTGTATTCTTAGCATATGTTCTGACATTTAAGTCGATGACAAGAGATCCACTAGCAGATTAGCTGCTGACTGAATTATACTGTCCACCCCAATGTCACGTCAAGCTTACTCCTACAACGGTGACCAAACAAGGCCACGTGGCCACCTCACGTGACCCGTTACGCCGCCTTTAGCACTATTCCAGCCATACCACGACGTAGGACACTAAGACTGGAAATCAAACTCGGTCTCCTTCGTTACTGATTAACCACGACGACAATGAATTGCATATATGTTTTGATAATGTTTACATGCACTAGAAGTTATATCAAAAAGCTTTTACATAAACACGTCTTCTCGTAGTTCTGACCTGGGCCTAGATTTTCGAAGCTCTCTTAGCGCTAAGATCGTCGTTAGTTAATGTTAGTGTATGGCAGTTACGACTATATTAGCGCTAAGAGAGCTTCGAAAATCTAGGCCCTGACATACATCGGCCAGGGCGAGTGGAAGCGGTGTTGTGTCATATGTATATGACCAGGCAAATGATTGATCTGAATACAATAGTACAATACTGATACAATTTCATTTAAAGAGTACAGATATTGTCAGGAAATATGTATCCGTTTTTTATGAAATGAACCTACAACATCCGGGTGAATTCACATTTCGAATAATCCATAACTCTCGGTCCTGGTACTTGTTCTGGTAAAGCTCGTCCCTCAGCCAGGCATTGCTATCCTTTCCGTGTTGCTATCCTGTAGGTTAAATTAGTATCACGAGAACGATTAAACTGTAAACCAACGACAGGTACAACACTAAAGACTTCATTACACGACACGTACACAGCCCTATGTGGAAAGTTGAGAATGTTAACATGTTGGTCCTCACTCTGACGAAATATCCACAACCTCTCGGAATCGACGAATGCATAATCCACACACTGTTGTACAATCTTCTTACACTATAACAGCATTGTCACATTCTGTGGGAAAATATCCACAGACACATCCTCATCACTATATACAGTCTTTGTGAACGTATAAAACCCTGGATTTCGTTGACTTGGAACGTTGAATACGTCCTCATCGAGAACCTTGAAATGGAAGCGTTGAACGAAAGCAAGAATTCTCAAAGGATCGTCAAAGGTATTGAATTGTTGTTATATTTTCAAACGTACCTATCCGTGGGGTTAATACTCTTAATACAAGAATCTCCTATCAGATTCACGAAAGAATATCACGAAATAATGTTCTGCGGGTCATTCGATTATTAGTCAGAATGGAGGAGGAGCAGATCAGGAATCCTCAAAAGAGTTTCCCCAGAGAAGGATCTTCAGTTTAGGTTTAGATGAAGTGACTATCCTGAGTCTGTACCTAAGGTTGTCTGATGTAGCGGCTGGGTTGTTGTGCTCCCTGCCCAATCTGTTGTAGCACAGCTTCAGGAGAGAGATGGAGGTATTTTTCTCCAGAACGTCCAGCAGTTTGGAGAAGCCATCGTTGGTGATGCCACACATATTGAGCCCAACCTGCTGGAGAGTGGAACTCCTTTCCAAGCAGGGGGCAAGCTTCATCAACCCTGTGTCCGAAATGAAGTTGACACTCAAGTCGATGCTCCTCAGCTTCTTACTGATGGCAAGAAGTTCAGCCAGAGACCCACATCCGTCTGACGTGATCCCACAGTTCTCCAGACTGATGTCTGTGACCATACTCTCGGGGATGTAACGACTGAGGATCTCCACCCCAGCGTCTCCTACATAGTTGCGGCTGAGGTCGAGTTCAGTAAGACACCTGTTCCTACTGAGCCCGTCCATTAACGTGCAGCAACCTGGCCAGGAGATGTTGTTGCTTCTTAGTCTCAGTTTCTGTAACGTAGAGTTGGCCTTCAGCATGTCTCTGAAATACTCACAGCTCTTGTCACCAATATCCAGGAAGCTCATATCGATCTCTACCAGAGTCTTGTTGTTCGTAAGGGCACCAGCAATGACCTGACACCCACTGAGCTCTACGCCAGTCGAGGACAGATTTAACTGTCGGAGACACGTGTTAACCTTCAGAGTATCCGCCAAAGCCGATGCCCCTACTGCATCTATGTTATTTAGCCGAACATCCAGAGATGTGATGCCCTTATTATAACCGAGGGCCTTCGACAACACTGTAATGTCTTCTCCGCAGAGTTGGGTCTTCCCTATACGAAGCTCTAAGATGCAAGAGTATTTTTCTACAACACGAGCAAGGGCTTTAGCTCTGTTTCCAGTTAAACTGTACCCAGTGACACACACATTCATCATGAGATCACACTGATCGGTAATTCCGTTACTCATTTCACTCGAAGTGTCCCAAGATGTGGTAGAGATCCTGGATGACCTCTTGCTTACTCCATGGTCATTCCGGGCCCTTTCCAATTCAACAACGGGCTTAAGAACAAACGTGTCAGGGTTATAGTAACCGATCTCGAAACATATCGTTTTCTCATCCGCCAGAATCGGATTATCATCATCGGCGACACAAGGAATATCGTGGACTAGCTGGTCAACCTCCTTCATCACGTCCAGAAGCTGTACAATATCCACGTAGTTACCAGACTTCCTCAAGACATCACAGAAACACACGAACTGGGAATACGATCCCTCACCCACTGCATTGGCGAGACTCTCACAGATCAGCCTCCGGTCAGGGTGGCCCTTGTAGGCCAAGACATCATTGTCACTGAGTACGGAAGACTCGTGAAGCTCCTTCAGCAGTGGGAAGGGATCCAGCCTCTGACAAAACAAGTCCAGGATGCTCTGCATGATCAGTTTCTGTCGAGACACGTCTTGGTGTTTCTCACTAGATTTCCTTCTTGATCTGACTGGCTTCTTTGGTGTCAAATCAGATGTGACTATCTTCATTTTGTTATGACTAGAATTTTGCAGCGTTGGGGAGTTGTTGCCTAGTGATGTAAGAACGTCCAGTTTCTCACTATCATCCCTAATGTTATTGTTCTCCGTGTCATCAGCAGGCACAATCACAGGTTTAATCTTACCGTTCTCCTGTTTTACACATATGTTCTTCTTACTCTTGCCATCAAATTCTGATGACGTGCTCTTAGGCTGAGCCATGACCACTGAGTTCCTTGCCGAACCGCCGTCTAGTGAGCTACGTGGGTTGTTTATGCTTGCTGAACGGAACAGAAACAGTCTAGGGGGTTTAGGGGGCGGCTTCAGGCTGTTGCTTCGACACAAGCCTGTTTTCTCTACAACATCTGGTAGAGTACTGTTCAATGGAGTCAAACAGTCATCAAAAGCGTCGCCATCGCCATTCGCGGACGTACTCCATTCCACTTTAATAATATCCTTCCGGTCACGTGGTTTCCGGTCAACATGGCGGGTAGACAACTTCCGCCAGAACTTCCAAGGTGGCGTGTGAGGGCGCTGTGGTTCTGACTCGGAATCTGAAACAGAAAATATTCAGTGATTATCCACTATCGTTACTCTTATCATATCGGAACGAAATAAGTCATAATTATGTCACATGAGAGTGGTTGACAGTGTGAATATGCTGAGAACGATGACCCCCAATTTAAGACGTAATTTATACCTGTCCTTATCAAAGTATTAACGTTACCACCCACCCACTGTGACCACCCAAACGGTGTCCATTAGATACACTTTTAGACTAGCATGTACAGTTATTGGTATGGATGAAACAAACTAATGGTTGACAATATGAGCGCGATCCAAGTTGTCACTATACCTATTATATCTGTGATATCTATTCACAGGCTCTTCAGACAATATGAGCACGATCCAAGTTGTCACTATATCTATTATATCTGTGATATATATTCACAGGCTCTTCAGACAATATGAGCACGATCCAAGTTGTCACTATATCTATTATATCTGTGATATATATTCACAGGCTCTTCAGACAATATGAGCACGATCCAAGTTGTCACTATATCTATTATATCTGTGATATCTATCCACAGGCTCTTCAGACAATATGAGCACGATCCAAGTTGTCACTATATCTATTATATCTGTGATATATATTCACAGGCTCTTCAGACAATATGAGCACGATCCAAGTTGTCACTATATCTATTATATCTGTGATATATATTCACAGGCTCTTCAGACAATATGAGCACGATCCAAGTTGTCACTATATCTATTATATCTGTGATATATATTCACAGGCTCTTCAGACAATATGAGCACGATCCAAGTTGTCACTATATCTATTATATCTGTGATATATATTCACAGGCTCTTCAGACAATATGAGCACGATCCAAGTTGTCACTATATCTATTACATCTGTGATATCTATCCACAGGCTCTTCAGACAATATGAGCACGATCCAAGTTGTCACTATATCTATTACATCTGTGATATCTATCCACAGGCTCTTCAGACAATATGAGCACGATCCAAGTTGTCACTATATCTATTATATCTGTGATATCTATTCACAGGCTCTTCAGACAATATGAGCACGATCCAAGTTGTCACTATATCTATTATATCTGTGATATATATTCACAGGCTCTTCAGACAATATGAGCACGATCCAAGTTGTCACTATATCTATTACATCTGTGATATCTATCCACAGGCTCTTCAGACAATATGAGCACGATCCAAGTTGTCACTATATCTATTATATCTGTGATATATATTCACAGGCTCTTCAGACAATATGAGCACGATCCAAGTTGTCACTATATCTATTATATCTGTGATATATATTCACAGGCTCTTCAGACAATATGAGCACGATCCAAGTTGTCACTATATCTATTATATCTGTGATATCTATCCACAGGCTCTTCAGACAACCCGAAGTCTGGTCATCTCTTACAATCAGACTTTAAAGGAATACTATAGACCCAGGGGTGTGTCTCGGTACACGATGACTACGCAGATGAATCAACACAGATCGCTATCAATATTGACAACACGTAATGTAAAACAAACCCACACAACCAACAGGAAGATAATAATTATACGAACCACAACGTCGTCAAAGGACGTGTACCCCACAGTGATAACGTTACGACAACGTCGAGACATAACAAAGGAACTCTTCTTTCAAGGAGATGACATATATTACAACAACAACCACCCACTTCAACAGTGTCGATTCACAAAACAGCCCTGCACAGAGGCGTCTGAAAACAACGAGCTGTGATGTGGCCCTATGTTCTGGTCTGACTCACAGCCCCTGAACCACATTACTTTAGGTCAGTCCTTTTCCATTTAAAAGGTATAAAAGGTATTTAGGTCAATCCCTTCTATAATGCAAAATCCACAATGAAACATGTCTGCATTTTCCACAGGTTGTGAATCTCCGATCTAAATACGGCTCCTTTTCAGTTTAAATAGATTAATGTTAGTCTAAGGAGTCTAAGTTAGTCTAAGGAGATTGTAACTCCCATATTTTAACATTGACTTGCTGCAGCCAAAACTCTAGGATCGCTTTGTAGAACGGTACCCAGTGATGAAAATCTCCTCTGTGTTGTGAGTGAGTGAGTGAGTTTAGTTTTACGCCGCACTCAGCAATATTCCAGCTATATGGCGGCGGTCTGTAAATAATCGAGTCTGGACCAGAAAATCCAGTGATTAACAGCATGAGCATCGATCTGCGCAATTGGGAACCGATGACATGCGCCAACTACGTCAGCGAGCCTGACCACCCGATCCCGTTAGTCGCCTCTTACGACAAGCAAAGTCGCCTTTTATGCCAAGCATGGGTTGATGAAGATCTATTCTAACCCAGATCTTTACGGGTCCTCTGTGTTGTGACCACCAGGTGGTCGTCATGGACAGATCAGGCTAACCCACCTATCTCGCAGTCTGCAATGGAGCTGAACAACCCCATGTACCATCGAACACCACGTCCCAGATATCTACGTTTAACGAATATTAATTCACGAAATAATATTCTTCCTTGTTAAGGTCTTTGCGCTGTGTGACTCAGCTACGACTATGAGCAACCGTCTAAAATGTTCGACGTGTGAATTAAGAGAGTAAAATAAGGCTGTTGTATTTTTAAAGGCTTGCGGCCTGGAAAATCCAACCTTAATTGATGCTGATTCAAATTTGGACACACGATGACGTTGAATGCCAGGCAGCGTGTGTGATGAATTCATAATAGCGCAATCAGCATAGTTCGGCTGGGGCACGCTGACCTACTGGATGACCTATAAGATGACCTGCAAGACGCACTGCAGGATGACAGGATCCATCAACAGATTTTTGTTGGAAAGAATCTCGCCACTTAACTTAAGAGGCGGAGGGATCTCTTTAAAGACAATGACAAGGGCGTCAATATATTGAGTGTCACTCCTCCATCAGTATCTTACGTGGAGATTTGCCTCATCAGGCAGGTTTTTTTGTAATTCGTCTTGAAGAGAGCTGATTTCCACATTGCATAACACGACAGCACTGGAGCTGTGTGACAATATGCTGCAAATTAGAAGTGGATTGTATAATTTAAGGAGATCGCCCCAAGCAGATGGGGACATTGTCATGGGGATTTTGTATCTCATATGGTTTTAATAATGTCACTTGGGTGCCATTAGCGACGGCAAGTTTAGTAAGAGATAGGAAAATAAGAGACGGTAATTTTTGTTAGGGATTGAACCTTAGGGAAGTTTCTTTTAGTTAGGACGGTCATTATAGTAAGGTATCGAGCTTCAGGGATGGTCATTTTAGTTAGGGATGACCCTTAAGGACGGTCATTTTAGTTAGAGATTGAGTCTTTGGGAAGGTCATTTTAGTTAGGATCGAATATTAGTGATGGTCATTTTAGTTAGGGATGGAGACATAGGGACGGCCATTTAAGTTAGGGACGGGGACTTAGGGACGGCCATTTTAGTTAGGGATGGAGTTTCGGGGACGGCCATTGTATATAAGGATGCGTCATTGCGGTGAGGTGAGGTGAAATTGGGTTTAACGTCGTGCTTGAGAATATTTCACTCATATGACGACGTGCATGCGTGTGTGTGTGTATGTGTAGCCCACTGAGATACCATGCCGCAGTGAAGCATGAATACCCCACTCAGACACATTATACTGACTCCTAGCCGACCAGTCCTTGTTGTACCCATTAATGCCGAGCCCCAGGCAGGGACCAACACGTACCATATTTTAACGTCTTTTGGTATGACGCGGTCGGGGATCGACCTATCCCTATCTACTGTAATAGCAACTCATGTATATATTCTCTCAATTTGTTACTCATGTATCACTTGCTTGACAACGACATTAGAATCTATGTCGAAACGTCGCCTCCACAGAATAAAAGACGTTGTATATCCATAATAATTGTCATTATTGTTCAAGGGTTGGAGATGTTTGAATATTTAGTTTTCTGCAAAACGTGGAGGTGGGTCGAAATACAACATTGTACATTTGCCGTGAATATGTCCTGCCAAAGAGATCAAGACTGTTTATGAAACAAGAAGATAATGCGATTGGTCCCTCAGTGTCTACCATCCTATGTGCCAATGACATTTAAGGCTGCCCACACAACAGCACTTAGCACATTCCACTGGTAATATAGTCAGTATTTACGTCCTTGGTATGTAAATAGACGCACATCAAGCATGCACTGATAGACTCGCTTCTCGTATGTACACAGATCGAGTACGGGATTGGCTATAGTACATGGCCTTCATGTAGATTCGAGTGAGTGCGTGCGTGCGTGCGTGCGTGCGTGAGTGAGTGAGTGAGTAAATGGTTGAGAGAGATATAGAAACTAAACTACATTTTCCCGTACAGCGTGGTCTTTTATAGTTAAAAGTGTCTGATCAAAGTACAAATGAAATAAGAATGTACATTGGCCTAACTGAACTCGGCTAACTGAGATGACGTTTTACACTGATTATCACACTGTTCTGATCAGATTCTTGAAAACTTGTTCCAGGTTGAATAGGAAAAGCAGTGATTAGTTTCCTTCTTCATACAATAGCATCGCTCAAATGTTAATATGTAATAATGTTAATAATAGTAATGAAGAATAATTATCGATAGTAATCGATATAATAGTTAAGATTAAAGAATGTATGGCACATGGGCGCGCGCGCGCACGCACGCACACACACACACACGGACGGTTTACGCAAAAATGAATGTGTCCAGGTATCTGGGGTCTCACCACACACACACACACACACACACGCACGCACGCACGCACGCACGCACGCACGCAGGCAGGCAGGCAGGCAGGCAGGCAGGCGGGGGAATACACACACAGACACACGCATATGCGCGGACTAAACCACACAGAACCCACCAGACAAACGTCACACACCTTCGTACACACTGACACACCACACACACATCGCGTTCAGTGCAGTGGGAAATGAGTTCATAAGGAAACTTCCTGAGCCAGTTATCTTATTTCCTCGTTACCACTGTTACGCTAATGTACACTTATACAAAATTGACCGAAATTAACATTTTAACATTTTGTGATTTAATCAATGAGTTGACAACAGTGTGTTGATGCCGCTGTCTAATATCAGCGTCACGTGCATTCCACACAAACACTGCAGGTCCTTTCCACCCGTGTAATTCGAACCTCCGGTATGTCGAAGCCTTGCGCATGCGGTGCAGGACCGGGATCCTTCTGCCATGTTCACCACGTCATGCTCGTGGTGTACCCGCCATGTTTGTGGTCGTTACCCCGCACCGAGCAATATTCCTGGTATATGACAACCTTTAAGTAATCGAGTCTGAACCAGACAAACCCGTGATTGACATCATGAACGTCCATCTACACAGCTGCTATATGATGACATGTGTCAACCCAGTCAGAGAGTCTGACCACTCAATCCTGTTAGTCGCCTCTTTCGACAAGCATGGGTTACTGAAGACAAATTCGAGCCTCGGGGCGGTTGGGTAGCCTAGTGGTTAAAGCGTTAGCTCGTCACGCCGCTGACCCGGTTTTGATTCCCCATATGGGTACGATGTGTGAAGCTCATTTCTGGTGTCCCCTGCCGTGATATTGCTGGAATATTGCTAAAATCGGCGTAAAACTAAACTCACTCACTCACCAGTTCAAATCCGGATCTTCACGCGTCCGTAATAGAGTTTAAACGGTCATCCACTAACGTCTGACCAATAACGAAAAGGGTGGAGATATTCCCTAGTAATCCTATAAGTTATAAAGGCTACGCATTGGCGGATCCAGGAATTTTGAAAGGAGGGGGTTCAAGGGGTTCGAACCCCCTGACCTCCCCATTGGCTCCGCCAACGCGATCTTCAATGTGACCTTAAAGGAGAATACGAACGAAAACAAAACTTTTGATATATTGTAAAGGACATTCTAAAAGTCACAATCCGTGTTTAAAATTGAACAAAAAGTTTGTAAAATAGCACTAAAAACACCAAAACGTATTCTCCTTTAAGTCAATCTTTAAAAACCTGCCCCCACACACACACACCCCTCTGATCCGCCAATGCTACGAATGTCTAAAATTCATGTGCACGATGGCTTTAGCAATAACCCGAATCACAATAACTTCGATGAAATCGCATAACAAAGCTAAAACCTCTTGACATGAATTCCAGATCCTTAAAACATGAAATAAACGGCCCCCCCCCAAACCAACACATACACACACCTCACCAGCGACAAGGATACCTTAGCAGCAACCCATGCGGCATCCTCGCTAATGTCCAGGGTATACGTTACGATCACTCTCCACTGATCGTAACGTATACCCTGGAGATTATCGAGGATGCCCATGCGGCAGCTCATTTTGAAATTAGAATGACGTAAACACCTTGTATTCACATTGTAAATGAGATGCTTACCCAATAACAAACCACAACCTCGCTGCGTCCATACAAGTTAAAAATATATGTCTTTCAACGTTTCGCTTCGTTAAATATTCACAGCGTTAAATACAGACACCAGTGATGTAAGCACCCTCAATAAAACATCTTCCATCATGAAACCTACTTACCCCCTCCACGGCCAGGTAATCTGTCTTGTCGGACTACACTATCCTCTATCCTATCGTCCACTATCCAGATGTCAGTTTCAGACTAGGTTAGGCTGTTCCGCGTGGAAGCCACACATGTATATAGTAGGTATACGCTAAACTAGGGCTGGACAGTTGACAGAGCGCGACGTATGGTCACGTGACAGACTAGCGTTCCGGTTTAAGAAAACTGACATTCTCGGTATGTGGTTTGTGTCATATCGGAGAAGGCACAGGCGGAAATATTGCTCGTGCTACGTAATGTTCGTAAACACCGCCCGGTAGTGAACATGCTGTACAATGGTGGTTACATTCAGTTGTAGCTGCTGGGGGGAGGGAGGGGGGAGGGTTGAGGGGTGTACACTACAGCCAGTGTTTACTGTTAGCTGACCTTTACAGCAGTGTACATTTCACGCCCAGAATGAACTGAGATGTGGAACTTTTCATTATTTCTAGAGGTCGTTTGTACTGATGCAGTGAAGGAGCAACGTTTTGAATGGTGCCTCCATGATCATAATCATAAAAATCATCATCATAGTTTGTATGTTTTGTTTGTTGTTTAACGTCGCACCCAGCAATATTCCAGATATAAGGGGGTCAACTTTTTTGTACAGACTGGATTTGCTAGGTGAACTTAACATCATCATCAACTTATGACCATCATAATCATCATCATCATCAGTTTATCATCATCAATATATAATCATCATCATCATCATCATTTTTCTTCTCTTCATCATCATCAATTTACTATCATCATCATCATTTTCTCTTCATCATCATCATCATCATCATCATCATTTCCTCATCACCACGAGAAGATCCGGGTTAGAATATTGATCTTCAGTAACCCAAGCTTGTCGTAAGAGGCGACTAACGGAATCGGGTGGTCAGGATCGCTGACTTGGTTGACACATGTCATCAGTTCCCGACCCGTGAAGATCCGGGTTAGAATGCATGTTCAGTAACCCATGCTTGTCGTAAGAGGCGACTAATGGGATCGGGTCGTCAGGATCGCTGACTTGGTTGACACATGTCATCAGTTCCCGACCCGTGAAGGTCCGGGTTAGAATGCATGTTCAGTAACCCATGCTTGTCGTAAGAGGCGACTAACGGGATCGGGTCGTCAGGATCGCTGACTTGGTTGACACATGTCATCAGTTCCCGACCCGTGAAGATCCGGGTTAGAATGCATGTTCAGTAACCCATGCTTGTCGTAAGAGGCGACTAATGGGATCGGGTCGTCAGGATCGCTGACTTGGTTGACACATGTCATCAGTTCCCGACCCGTGAAGGTCCGGGTTAGAATGCATGTTCAGTAACCCATGCTTGTCGTAAGAGGCGACTAACGGGATCGGGTCGTCAGGATCGCTGACTTGGTTGACACATGTCATCAGTTCCCGACCCGTGAAGGTCCGGGTTAGAATGCATGTTCAGTAACCCATGCTTGTCGTAAGAGGCGACTAACGGGATCGGGTGGTCAGGTTCGCTGACTTGGGTGACACATGTCATCGGTTCCCAATTGCGCAGATCGATGCTCATGCTGTTGATCACTGGATTGTCTGGTCCAGACTCGATTATTTGCAGACAGCCGCCATATAGCTTGAATATTGCTGATTGTGGCGTAAAACTAAACTCACTCACTAACTCATCACCACGAAGACCCGGGTTCGATTCCCCACCTGGGTACAATGTGTGAAGCCCATTTCTGGTGTCCCCCGCCGTGATACTGCTGGAAAATTGCTAAAAAGCGACGTAAAATTAAACTCACTCAAGTCATATGACTGCGAGGCTTTCACACATTGTATCCATGCGGGGCTCAAGCCTAGGTCACTGGCGGGACAAGCCATCACTTTTACTGGGCTGTACAGAACGACATACTGACACCAATCAATACCAAGCAGGACAAGCTCGCTTCCACTTCCTAGTGCCCTCACATTATCACATGCTGTAGGAAGAAAACGTGACAAAAACATCAAACAGGAAGATAAATCTAAACAAAGAAGCATATTTAGTAACCCGCTTTGAACAGTATCACGTGTACATACACACGGCATGTTAATGTGGGAGGGAATCCCGGAGTACTGCAGGTCTCAGACATTTACGACTTTGATGTAACACACAAGCTTGAGTAGGTGCCAACAAACTTCCCCGAGAAATATACTCTGGGATTCGCGGAAGAAAAAAGATAATATAACAAATGTATTTTCATCCCGACATAATGGAAATATCGATTACGCCTCCATCTTGAGAAAGTTTTTTGAGACATTAATTTGATTCGAATTGAAAATTTAAAAAAACCCTTAAATCAACCAGCTATGTGAAACACAAACTGGTTGACAGTACGAACTTCTTGTCAGAGGGGGCACGTGAAATATTGATAATTTCTTATCGACCGACTTTAGAAGTCAATAAGGAAAGGTCAGCAAGATAATATTTTTTCTCCAATTTAACACGGCAGATTTAAAAGATTAATCTAATTTGAATGGAAGGTTTAAATGTTAGCTTAAAACAACATGAGTTAAACACGAAGTGGTTGATAGTTCGAACTTATTGTTAGCGGAGCAAAGTGAAATATTGATAATGTCATATCACCCGACTTATATTATGTCAACTCTAAAGAAGTCAATAAGGAAAAGTCAACAAGATGATAATTTTTCTCCAATTTAACACGACAGATTTAAAAGATTAATTTAATTTGAGTTGAAGATTTAAATGTTAGCTTAAAATAACATGAGAGTTAAACACGAAGTGGTTGATAGTTCGAACTTCTTGTAAGCGGGGCAAAGTAAAATATTGATAATGTCTTATCACCCGACATAAATACATTTATTCCGTTTACACTGTGGAAGTCAATAAGGACAAATATTGCTGAGTGCGGCGTAAAATTAAACTCACTCACTCACTCAATAAGGAAAAGGTCAGCAAGATAAAGTCCCACTACGACTATCCCCGTACTGAAATGCACAAAGGTTTCCTCCCCAGGTGTTACAAGCGTATACACAAACAGAGAGCATTTGTATAGTGTAATTACTCAAGCAAGATGGGGCTAACTGCGCTATACTCTAATCTGACTGGTCGTGTCGATCCCGGGAGGTTAAACAACTAAACAGAAAATAAAGACTCAATTATTTCGTGCGATCGTTGGTCCTGGATTAGGTTAATAGGCTGGGAGACCGCTCGGACAACGGAATTAGATCATTCGTTGCCTGGGGCAGTGAAATCCGATCTGAAGCCGAACGTTTTTACATTTGACATAACATGACACATTGAGCTGAATCAGTGTATTTTAAACTTGACCTTCCTATGATTATTTATGAATCATTCCTCAATGTCAAGGTCATGAATGAAACACATCCCGGTTGTGCAATCAGAAAGTGAAATGTTTAATAAAATATATTAACTCGTAAAGGGTCCTGGATGCAGGCAGTGAGGGGATGTGGTTTTAGAATCGTTTTCAGCAATATCACAGCGGTTGGAACAAAAATGGGCTCCAATCATGGAAGCAATCAACATCTAGCTAGCTACATAATATTGCTAGACTAACATAACGTATACTGATGAAATCAGGGGCATTTGTAGTCTGTCTCACAGTCCCTGAACCACATTATTTTCCCCACAGTATTGCCCTCCCTGCAATGCTAAAGCATTAAATGAAGCAAGTCTAGACTTCCTCAGGTTCTGCATTTCCCGTCTCACTGGGGCTCCTTTTCAATATAAATGGATCTATTTGTTACTATCAAACTTATATATATTCAGAGACTAAGCCTTAGTCTTGGGCATTTGGTGTTTCACCTGCCATTTCATGATCTTTAAACTGATATATGACCTATACTCCAATGCTGTACTAAATGCTAAACCAATGGATATATAGTAACTCTATCCCTTAAAGATGCAAGTACAATATGAGGAAGCCAGTCTGTTAGAGGAATCTGTATATCTTTTAGAAATTGTCATTTAAACTATCAATTATTACCTAAGAGACTTGTGCAAGTCTCCATGACCCCTGTTGTACTGTTTGTATGGTTATCCACTGTTTATATCTGTCGCTTTGTCTTAGCCACGGTCTACAAACTGACGTCCACTTGTGTTCGTCATCTCTTCGTTATTGTAGACATGATCCGTAGTCTAGTGCATAGAGTGTCTGTTTGAAGAGCGGGAGATCGTTACGCCGAAGGCCCGGGCTCGATTTCCCACAATGTGTGAAGCCCATTTCTGGTGTCCCCCGCCGTGATATTACTTGAATATTGCTAAAAATGGCGTAAAATTGAACTCACTCACTCACCGCTTGTCTTAAATATCGTCTTAATTTCTACTTGACTATATATGGCTCATAATGGATAGAAGTCATCTGTGAACAAATGCTCACACCATCATCCCTGGTTCATCTGGCCAAGACGTCAAATAGCTGTCTTGTCATCAATTCGACGCAAACAGCAGTTATTAACGTTCTCATTTCATATTTATCAACCTGATAGCAATAAATCATCAATAATCGCAGTGACATTGTCGCGTTCCCGCGATTTGTTTCATTTTGACACTTTTTCCTTGTTTTTGTAAGGGCAATGTCCCTTCAAGGATTCCATAGATATAATAAATACGTACAGCGGTCGTGGACTATCGTATACAACGATATCGACAACGTCAACCCCCACTCTTGTTACTCAGAAACCTAACACCACGTGTCTATAAATGGCACAACTCATTCCACGGGCCTTGAGAATCGCGATCAAGAAATCAATATTTTGACAGGCAATAGCTTGATGTGCTCCGTGAAGGGTCAGGGATGAAACCGGCTTGTTCGGGTCCTGTCACCAACGTTCTGACAAGCGAGATGAAGCCCGATCCCATCAAAGTCACAATTACTGACAGTGGGTCTAAGATCCGAGGAAGCGCCTTTGAACCCCTGCAGATATACATCACTGGGTCCCGTTCTTCAAGGGGATCGTAGAGCTACGCCTGCCGTAAGTCAATGTTAAAGTATGGGAGTTACAACCACCTCAGATTAACGCTTAGGGACCGTTCATAATTTATGGTTAGGGGGTGATGATGGTGA